ATTAGACAGTATGCATAATTTTATAAAATTGATAAGATTTTTTTTCCAACATCACTAAAACCTAATCAGTAATGACTTTACGAGTCTTACCTAATATTTTGTACATTGGAGAAAGGTCGCAGTGGACGGACAGAAAAAGTTTCTCGACGGATTCCAAAAGTTTGGACAACTCAGTATGTACGGTTTTTATTTGATYGTCTTCTTTGTCYGCGTCGTCGGTGAGCTGCTGTAAGTGGGTCCTTAGCCCGTTCATGTTTTCCTCTTGTTTTGATGCTCTTGACTCGTTAATGGCCCGCTGCTCTTGCACTCGGTCCTTTAGCACCACAACTTCTTTCTGCAAGTCGTCCACCTGAGACGAACAGTACATGTGCCATTTATAGAATATTTMATTATRTAACTTAAAAACTTTACATCATATCCTATATCGCGGTCACTTATGGAGTTCCCTTATAGGTGATCACATTTCTCCACTCTTATTTAACTTATTTTTAAATGATACGGGTTTTTATATTGCTGATTATAACATAATTTTATTATTTGCTGATGTCGCGAAAATTTTTAAATACGTTACTGAATCTATTGAATATTTTGAGTTACTATAAAAGGTAAAAATATAAAATCATCGTGTTTATAATTTCGAATCACGATATATAGATAACGTTATTTTCAACGTGCCTTGAATTAACTAATTATATTTTAAAACAAATATGAGTTTATTTATAAAATGATTCTTCTAAGTTTGTTGCCTGTAGAAGTGTAGACTCAATTGCCCAAAAACTATATRCTCGACAGATTTTGACGAAAATTTCAGATATTGTTCTTAGAGTTAGAGATATCATAAACGTTTAGAGATTACTTTAAACCAAGAGCTATCTATATAATATCTGTACCTCATACACTGCTAAAACCGAAATACACCGATATAACTTAGTATTTTATATTAATTATTAAATTTTCTTTGGGTGAATTGGGAATTTAGGTTCAGCTATAGCATGATAAATATGTACATAAATCGATGCTTATTCAGTGAGTTACWTCACACATTATTCATATATAAATATATTATTGTGATAAACATACATCTATCAATTATTTTTGTTTTTCCATTAGTATTTAGTTTCTAATTGGTACCGGGACTATAAYGCATGATAATTTTCTAATATATGCTATACGCGATATTATAAACAAAAATTTACTGACGACCGAACACCAAAAGAGAGCATATTAATAATTTATGTATAATATAAATATTAAATACCTCGCTGTTTAGCTCGTTGATGTACGTAAACAACGCGAAGTTCTCCTCTTCCTGTCGGACGAACAGATCCACAATCTTATCGATATTACTCTCGCCTACGTACATCTGCAGCCATCCCATCAAGTCTATCCATTTCTCTGCTTGTTCCTTTCGATTACCCAATTCATTTTGTTTCTTTTCTTCTTCTTTACGTTCGAAATCCATGAGCACGCGATGTTGTCCTATTTTACAAAAATCTTCATAATGTGGCGCATATCYCTGCGATTAAATCGTAATCATCTTCTAGGCCACCACAAAAAAAGGAGCGGTTGGACTAGGAAAACAGGGTTAACATTTTTGAAATTTYGAAAGGAATACTTATTTTATATTAAATAAATAATACTATTTTATGATATTAATTACAAACGTGTATTATATATCAAGTTGTTTTGTTATTTTAAGCTGCTAGTTAATCATTATTGATTCCCTAGAAATCATGTATGGGACACCTGTATCGCTTATAATGGGTTGTATTTTGTTAGATGTTTTTTATAGGATCCTCAAAAACATTWAGTATAGTAACTCACAATTGTATGTGCTTCAATGAGATTTTTTGAAAAAAGTTATAATGTAGATATACCTATACTCAGATATTCAGACATAAGACTTATATTATTTTGCCAATCAACCTTGCGAATATCTATAAATTATAATATAATACTTATTCTAATTGACTTAATTATAACAATTGAGATGCTTGAAAAATAAAAACTGGTACAACTATTTGGTAAATTAAAATAACAGTTCCAAAAAWTATTTTRCGGCCATAAAATAATCCATCAAATTAAGAACATTTTGAAATTTTTAGTTTATACTTTAATAATAAATATTAATTTAAAATTAAAATAATCCAATACCTACTATAATAATACAAAAATATCCGCTCCTTTTCTTAATAAAATAATTTTGGATGTTGATATATCTAAACTAGATAGATATAGGTACACATAAACTTTTTATTTTGTTTACATACCAAAAATAAAATAAAATAGATAAACTTTTTTAGAACTGAGTTAAGTTAATATTTTTTCCCATTTTAATACTTTTAGATTATCGAGTTAAATTTATAATTTGTTAATTGTTGACTTTTAACTTAGAGATCATATGTGTCCTCTTACTTAACTTAACTCGAGTTAATTATTTTCACTAATTTAGGTACCCATCTTTGATAATATAAAGGTAGCATTTAATATTATTTATTATAACGTATAGGCGCGTAAGTGTACCTTTAATGGACAAGAAATCTTGAAGTTTTAGATCACGGTCGTATTGCCTCTGCAACTCTTTGACTTCGGCTTTGTGGAGAGCAATCTGTTGTTTATCTTCGTCACTCATATTGATCAATCGGCTTTGAGCATCTTCCCTGAAAAACACACAAATACTTATTATATAATATTAGTATACCTATACTAGATATATTATTAAACCATCATATGTAAATATATTATAAGATAATAATACTATCTTCACTTCAGAAGAAAGTTTTGATAGAACGACCTACTCCCACCCATATTATATTATTATTACCCACCTTTGTTCGTACGCTGTTGTAGCCTGTTCTATTAGGTCCATCATTATCTGTTTACTGTCGTCCAAACGCGCCGTCAGAGCCTTGTACGCTTCGTTGAACTGCGACCGTTGCACAAGCAAATTGTCAATTTCGTTTCTCAAACGGGCATTCTCTGTCAAAACCTTATTGAACTTGACGGTTTTCTAAAATTTGTTTTGTCTCACAATCGATGGCGTTTCGTGTACGCTATATTGAATAACCTACCTATAAGCTATAAATATATGAAAGACTTACCACGTGCAGTTTGTTCTCTAGTAGTTCTTCGTGTTTTTGTAGATCGCATTTGACTTTRTTTTTCGATTTTCCCGCCGAAGGTTCTCTCTGTCTAAATACTAGGTCGAGTTCGTTTTGTATTTTCAATATCTCCTTTTCRATGTCGTCGTGGCACTTTTTTTGGTCTGCCAGTTCATCGTTGGCGCACAAGTATTCGTTCCATTTTTCGACTAAACATTCTTTTAAACGCAAGTCATTGGTTTCCTTGCGTTTGTTTTTTCCCATATTCAAGTACTCTACCAGATTTACTTTTTCTTGTTCCAAACTGCTGATAATTTTTCTGTAACGTTTTACATACAGTTTTTAGTGTACACCCATAATTTTACAAACAATGTGTAAAGCCGCGGTCTCAAACTCAATTTACTATTGAATCATATATATATATTGTATATATATATATATATATACAATATTAATACATTGTAGATTCGCATGCGAAATATTTTCGTAGACCTTTTTTTTAATTATGTCTATAATATCTATACATTTTTATACCAGTGATCGAAACCGTTTCAAATTTTAACGGTTCCGGATTCGGTTTTTGAGAACGGTTTTCTACAGTTTTTGGTTTTGATGTAGATTTTAAGATTAGTTTTTCAATTTTTTTGGTTTTGTTTCGGTTTTAAARAAGGTTTTTAAAATTTTTCGRTTTCAAGAACCATTTTTAAAAATGTTCATTTTTGGTTTTTGGAACGGTTTTTCAAATTTTGATTTGATTTTCCTGCATCTAATGACTGTAGACCCAATTTTTATTATCTATTAAGGTACAAACTATTTTAGGCCAAGAAATTGTTAGAAGTTTACATTTTACTATTTTTTTATAACATAATATGTCGTTTTAATTATTACCACTACTGAATATAGGCAATAAATAATAATTAATAAATAATAATATTATAAATATAATATATTATTATTTWAGTACCTGTGTTGTAATAGTTTGAACACAGTTGGAAATTGGAATACATGGTGGTAAGAACATTATCTGTGTTTTGTTGGAAGTATTTTTACAATAATTCAGTTTTTAAGTGAGGTACGCCGGCATGCGTGTATACATTGTAAAATAAAAATGCTCATAACTCACTTAAAAACTGAATTATCGTAAAAATACTTCCATAAAACACAGATAATGTTCTTACCATTAAGTACCATCATAATAGKTTAGGTTAGCTGAGCGTAAATTTGGTAGGTATGTAAGACTGCGAGACAACAAATACGGGTGTTGCGCACTCTTATTAAGGATGAGACTGATGAGAGCAAATCATAAAAATTTCATTTATTTTAACAATTGTGTGATAYCTTATAGGCAATTATAACTTATAAGCTATACCTACATTGTTGTAATTAATATTCTACTCAATATTTTTAAAATATTTCACAAAATTCATCAACTATAGTCTATAATAGAACTATAGTATAATCATTATAATACAATTATTTCTAAATTATACATATTATAATAGTAAAATAAATATGTATAATGTATATAATGTAGGTATAAAGTACACCTATTTTTGATTTGTCGTTTTTATTAGACTTACTTCTGTTTGGCCAAATGACTGCCCATTTCTTCGGTATACGCTTTTTTGTTGCTCTCCATGAGCATGTACTGTCGTTGAAGTTTGGCCAACTCATCTGCAAGAAGATCGCTTCCATTGTCTTCGACGTCTCCATTTATGTTGTTGTCCATTGCGATTGCTACAACTTGTAACGTACGRTGACCGACTGATTTAAGAATATCGAATGGGTTGAGCGATAAACGCTGTATCATACACAACTAACGGCTCGCCGGGATCGCGTGTTATCGAAAAAACGAAATTTTAAGGTAACTAGGTGACGTGCGAAACCACACGCTCAGCAATGAGTACAATGTTTATACATATGACAAGTGTATGAAAAATTGAAAAGTCCACTTAGTGGTTGTATCTATAATACCTRCGCGTCTTCATCTTTACGAAWTCAAAAATCCCGGATATAGTTACACGTGATCAATTGAAACATATATATTATGTACCTATCGATCTATGGATTTTATATAATATGTATGTGTGTCATATCGTTTGCGGTGAAATCTATTATTTAAACTTAATTTTTTTTTCTTCTTCTGTGTGTATATTATAATATATGTATTCATATTCTATATCGATTTCAAAATGCGTAACACTGCATGTTGCAAGTTGATTTTTGTAAATRAATACCTGCAGTGTTAACAAATTATAATATAMAATCAATTTATTTCATTACATATACATTTATAAGCATTCACACTGATTAAACATTGTTATTTTATTTTATACCGTACTTTTTTGTATAACTTTTTTAAAAAGTGCGAACTCTATGGAGTTGTTATGATTTTTTATGATTCATAGAAAAAATTACTACGGTATTATTTAACCATTAACTATATAGAAATTGAAGAACTTCGAATGCTGACTGATTATTTATTGCATATTTTAGATTTTTATTTTTATTTTAGATAAAGTCTTTAAACGTCCTTATTAAGTTTTAAGTTAATAAAATATTTATTGATATTAATGTAATAATGTATAAATAGTAGATAATATATCAGCAAATTAATTTCAAAGTTCCGACGTTTTAAACTTTTAAATTATAATATACATATAATAAGCTAATAAGGTATCTATTAAGTTTCATAATATAATTTTCAAATCTCAGGGTATTTATTACATCCATATAATCTAACTTAACCAGTCGGWTTGTWAGTATATTCCATACCTATTAAGTATTATAGCATATCTCGGTGTATTATAATATATTGTTGATATGTTTATATGAATTGTATGACATTTTTAAAATGTAAGTGCTCATAAAAACACTAAATTATATCTTTAAATATATAGGTATCTATACCTATCTAACCTAATCTAACTATATAACCTTGAATAAACATTTTAAAATAATAATTAGTTTCAATATTAATACTAATATTTAAGGCAAATTACGAACCCCGAATAGTACTCATGTCTCATATTGTATTTGAGCATTGTTCGTCAAAAAGTTCTGAAAATTTATTATTTTTGGTAATTGGAGTTACCAGGGTCCAGGGTGTATTAAATTGTCAATCAATAAAGTATAATTGATTTGTATAATTGTATAAGTATACATATTTTTATATTTAACTGTCCTGTATAATTATTTGATATTATACATATAATATACCGTATATTATATACGCTATGTAATGAAATCAGTTTATAACGGACAGATAGTTACAGGACCATCAAAAGTGTCCTTTAAAGTCAGGACTTCCTCGTAATATCTTTTTTTTGTGGGGCCATTATCATTTTATCCGTTTAAGAGGAGTGTCCTCTTTACACAGCTATCTGTTAAGAAAAGTTTTACTGTAATGTACTAATATATTATGGTAATTTATTATTATTTAAATAATATTGAACAATATATTGTGTATAATAACTAGAATACATTATTACCTAAATTCTTTTATCCTGTTTAATAAGTTATTTTTTTAGGAATAAGTAATAAATTGTGCCCTAATRCCATACTTAAATGGATTTCAAAAAACCACGAAAAAAAAGGAATAGCATCATTAGCGTCTCTCTCAGAAACACATCAATTGTTGTACAAAACATGCAGGGACTTTGCTGAAGGAGAACTTAAACCTATAGCTGCAAAAACTGATCGTGAAAAGTTGTTCCCTAAAAAACAGGTTGGTACTTAAACTAAAGTGTACATTTTAATATTATTATTGGAGCAAACTATAAGCCAAATAAGATTTTTGTCTTTTAAAAACATAGAAATATTAGGTTCTTTTATTAATTTTGTTTAATTATTTGACTTGTAGCAGCATTTAATWATAATTATAGTATTAATATTTTAAAATAATCATTTTTATGTAAAAACAAAATAAGTGTTTTATTTGTAATGGTTTATTGGACAAGAAATGTTTTCGTTCTTTATATAGATTGAAGAAATGGGTGAATTAGGCCTTATGGCTGTTTGTATTCCAGAAAATGTTGGAGGGACGGGTCTTGATTATTTATCTTATGCTATTGCTGCGGAACAAATTTCTAGGTAAAAACAAACCTTTGATGACAATTCAAAAATAATAAAATCCCCGCGTTTAACCAAGAACTACATACCAGCAAATTGTCTAAATATAAAATTTTCCATTTATATTTCCAGATGCTGTGCTTCGGCTGGGACTATTATGGCCGTACACAACATTTACGTCAATGCTATAAACAATTTCGGTAACGACAAACAGAAAGAAGAATTCCTACGACCATTTACTGATGGGAAGCAAATAGGTTCATTTTCTTTGAGCGAGCCAGGTACGTAATATAGTACAGTAAAACAGATTATTGCTACAAAAAAAATATTAAATACAATAAATAGTAACGAAAATATTGGGCGATTCTTTTTGAAATTAACACTTATTTTCTCGAAAATTTAACTTTTTAGAAGTATTTTTTTTTTTTTTTAATCATATTTTGAGACCATTACAAAACAATATTTCATTAAAATGTTAAAGGCCTGGGAAGTGACGCTAGTGCCGTGGCAACAAAAGCTACGAAAAATGGTTCTAAATATATAATCAACGGAACGAAATCGTGGACAACGAATGGTTTTGAATCCAAAGCATTAGTCCTATTCGCATCTACCGATAAATCAAAAAAACATAAGGG